CATCTTGCTCTTCATAGCTCAGTGTTGACCATCATGTGGTGCCCCTGGAGCTGGGGGTTAATGGCCTTGGTCAAGGGCTCACCAACAGATGACTGTTTGGTTGAGGCCAAAGCTTGAACCAGTGACCATCTGATCACTGGCACAGAGACTTAGCCCACTGGGGCACTCACCCCCCCATGAAGGTGTGACATGCTAACCAGTTTGACTAGCATGTTTCAGATTTCTTTACAATAAAAGGGCACCACTGGGATTCAAACCCAGGATCTTCTGTCTATTAGACAGGCACTTTAAGCAACAAAGTCACAGTGCCATCTGTAACCTAGTTATTGTATAACAAGTGGCAAAGTGGATGACATCACTTAGACACAGCCTCTTGTTTTGTTCGGTTTTCTAAAAAAAAATTAGTGTCAAAATTGCCTGTAGCATGTGCCCACCTGCGTGCTCACTTATAGCAAAGCATTCTGATCGTGACCCTCTTTATTGTGGGCACCAAACCTTCTCCCTTCTGGTCATTGTCCGATAGCTACAGAGACAGCCATGTGTCTCTATAATATCATCTAAACAACAAGGGATGTTCAAGATTGTGATCTGAGTTACAGAGGCTTGGTCCAGAAGCACTGGGGATCCTCACTGGTTGCCAGTTCAGACCATAGCGGCATCCTTGTTTGCTGTTATGAGATTTGTTTTATTTGTTGAGAGTGATTGTCTCTGGTCATGTCAGGTTGTACCGCATTAATGAAAAGCACTGCAATGAATGTTGATGGAGAAGCTTGAAAAATCAAAACAATCTCAGAATATAAAGTACCATGATGGATTTGCATGTTTTATGTGAGGGCATGCATAAACATAAGGGAGTAAGGTAGCAAATGTATGCTGATGGTAATATTTTGCATTTGGCTATACATGAATCAAATGGGGGGGAAAAATGTGGAATAATATTTGCTCCCCATCAGGCGTGCATGCATCTGCGTGGCTTGCTTTTAGTGCATCGTAATCACACCCAGCACCTGGCTGTTCACCATGATGGCTTTTGCACTCAAAACCCAACTCAGACCCTGCAACACACAAGTGGTTCAAGCCGAATGAGCAAAGTGTTTTCTTTCCTTTGTTCCTTGTTTTTTCTTTATGCTCTGTTTGGGATAACCCCACCCCATCTATTTTGCCCAACATCTGTTTCAGGAAAGCACAGGAGTGAAGTCAGCAAGATCTCATTTCTGCGAGAGGAGGACCTGTCAGGACAGCACCTATCGTACATAATGTATGAATCACATTTTGGTCTTTCGTGCAGATGGTGAGACCCTTGAAACATTTTTAAAGATGATTTATACATGTAGTAAAGGACAATAAAGGGGATGCTGATAGCTTTCCAAAGCCCCCCTACAGGCTCTGCTCAGTCTTTTACTTCTTTTGGGGGGGGGGGGGGGGACTGATTGCAGATGCTGATGCCTGGTCATGCTGCCACAAAGGCACCTTCCCTGAACGATACAGTGTGATATGCTCTGCAAACTGCACTGGGCTGCACAGATCACTGATTACATGACAATGGCAGTGGCTGGGGTGGGGTGTTGGGGGCTGGGGGGGTCAAATATGACATGCAGTGAAAGTTCAGCAAAGCCGGAGAGGGTGGGAGAGTTTTACTGTTTCCTTCATTCTCATAGCTGTTTTTCAGGAAAGTTGAGCCAATCATAGTATAATACAATACAATACAACACCAGCATAATATGCAAGAACCTCAATAAAGAACTGCTGGCAGTGTAGCTGTTAAAAGTCCCTGAGCCAGCAGCCATGAACAGGATAACTGACCTTAGTGTCATGTGACGTACGCATGGACTTCATGCATAAAGGGCCAAGTTTGTCCTTAAAGTACCTTCTAATTGGTCCATGAAATATATACATGGAATAAAATAAAACGTGTTCTTTTAAAAATATTTGCTGATCATATAAATGTTTAAGAGCAAAAATTGGCTTAAGATTTCCTTCTCCTGAAAATACCTCAACATCTGTCCACCATACTAATCTCATGCCTGCCACTACTCGCACCAGCACACTGTCTAATGCTGACTTGTTGCGTTGTGCTGTGGTTCTGCTTGCCGCTACTAGATGCTCTTTATTTTTTGTGCTCTGCCGTCTCTGTTCACGTAACAGTGTGACTACAGCCTCTCCTTTGGCTTTATTCTCAATGTCTCCCTTATTTTTTTTTCAAAAGTTAAAGAATAAAGTGATTGGAAATGTAACACAATAAAATGCATGTGGCATTGGAACACATTTACTGTATAAGCCACCCAGTGGTAGAGTGCGAAAGCCATAAGAACACACACTAAAGCAGTGTTTCCCAACCCAGTCCTCGGGGAACCCCGGTCAGTCCACGTTTTTGCTCCCTCCCAGCTCCCAGCCAATCAGGAACACAGAATACCTGGTACAGGCCACTGGGAGCTGAGAGGAAGCAAAAACGTGGACTCTCTGGGGGTTCCCCAAGGACTGGGTTGGGAAACAGTGCACTAAAGGAGTACCGACTGGGCATCTTAGTAGATTCTCTTTTGGTTTATATTGTGTACATACCATTTCTGACAATGGGATTTAAGCACTGGTTGTATAGTTTTTTTTCCTCCTACAGTAATCTTACACTTGTTTCTGGTCAATCATGGCAATCTCTTCCTAGCGGCCCCCTGATTTGGTTCTTTGAAAGCTCTATGCTACTTATGAATTATCAGCTCTGCTTGTATGCCGCCTTGGACAAAAGCATCTGACAACTTGTTAAATATTTGCAGAAAAAAACAAAGTAGACAAGCCATTAAGTGTATTTAAGTGTAAACTCCTGGGCAAAAAAATGGGCCAAACCCAAACTGCAAAACATTAAGCTTTGGCCCATTTTTTTTTGGCCAGCAGTGTAATTAATGGCATTAATTAGTGGAACATCTCTAGTCATGGGAAATGTACTTTAAGAAACAAAGTTTAATGTAATTTCACCAAATGTTTATAAAAACGGCCAGGATCCCATCAGACTCAAATCCCAGTTTGTGTAATATAATGGGACTCGACTGTTTTGGCAACATGCTTTTACCGTAATAAATGGTTTCAGGCATCGCACTGGTTTGAAGGTACTTTCATCATGTGGGACCTTGATAGAGTTCCAAGACATTAAATGTACCTATGGTCGTCAGAGAAATACCATGAAAAAAATAAAGCTGTCATTTGTCATGAGGACCATTTTCGTAACAATTCTAACAAGAGGGTAGTAGAGTAGTAGTAATAGATTTGTATGAGAAACTTCATAGCGGGTATGACCGGTTACATCTTTTAGTGACTGCTCCATGCATAAGCTGTCACATTGTATATTTAATATATTACCTTAGTATAATACTGTACATCGTACATGCTTTCTACTAATTGTTTGCTTTCTGTATATTTAGCTTGTTTTCATGAAACTGATAAATTAATGATGATAGATAATAATGACAAGTTAGACATTAAGCCAATGCAATGATTATTCATGGTAATGCCTTAAAACAATAATCTGTATAATGCCATTTGGTGATGCAATTCAGAGTAATGACTCGATGTTCTAAAAGCTTGCACGCTAAATGAGAACAATGGGAAATGCAAACTGAGCTATCATTTGGTTCTCTGTATTATGTATAATGGTTGTCATAATACCGTGTTACCTGATATCAAGTAGAGTCCTCATTACTACGTATTAGTACTTTATTGATGCTTCTAATATGTTCCATTTCTCTTGAGACTCTTTGAAATGTCTTGGTAAATTGTTCTTCCTGGAACATTTAAAATCAAAAATTGTTCACAATAATTAAAAAAAGTTTCTCGTTGTCCACGTGAGCCTGCTCCTTACGAGGAGGATGAGTGGCCGTTTCTGGCTAATTCCATCCCACTTGCGAGATTAATTTATGTCAGAGTACACACACAGCACATAGATTCAGTGTCAGTTTGCTGAGATTTACTGTTTAATTTGTAGTACTGTGTCATACTAGCTGCCGCGTTTCATAATTAGCAAGGGAAGCTAATAAAGTTCATTCCTCAACATGAGTCCATTTTCACATTAGAAAACAGTTGACAAATTTTTAGAAAAATCCCCATTCGGTGCTTTATTTTTCCATTCAATTACTGACCGAGTCATTGCGGCAAGGTTAAATGTCTAACGAACAGGGCCAAGGTGAAAGTAGGGGAAAATAGCCTTAGGTGTGATGTCCACTGGTGGTGTTGCACCGATTACTGCAATAAGTCTTATCTTCTCCGGGCGACTGACGATAACACAGTAATTGCCGGAGCTCAATAGAACTCGGCCTATCCATTTGTACCAATATCAGCTAGGCCATCAGTCAGTGATGACCACTCAGTCAAAGCAAGATGAATGAACTAATACTTGGGCCTGGTTTCATCTGAGCTACTGTAGGGTTTGACTTTCCTTTGCCAATGGCATCGCATCAAGCCCCAAGACAGTCTTTCCAGTATGGTACAGTCAAGCGAGTGAACTCATTCCTCACTAGGAAGCATTATTCCCACAATAGTTTCATTTCCCATTGCTAGAAACAGGTTATTTGTAAACACAGTTGTAGATGTCATTTTTCCCTGTGAGTAATGATGGCTCAAAAAAAAAAGTAAAGGACACGTTTCAGTAAGAAAGAAACGAGGATGATTTATATGGCAAATGGCTTTATGTTCTGTTTCATAATTTAAGACTAAGTGCTACCTGCAGATCAGCCTTGTATCAAGCCTTGACATTGGATTGTCGTCCAGAGCCTCCACCATGACAATTGTAGCATTAGTCTGCCCAGCTTGACTGCCAGGTGATCAGTTAAGAATGCTGATGACTCAGCAGTAACTGGGTTTGTGTTTTGTCACAGGTTTTCCACCACTTTGGGACTCATCCATCCATCCATCCATCCATCTGTTTTCTATAACTGCTTGTCCGACGCAGGTTCACAGGGGGTCTGGAACCTATCCCGGCGGCTACGGGCACAAGGCAGGGAACAAGCCAGGATGGGGCACCAACCCATAGCAGGGTACAAACACACACCATTCACTCACACATGCACACCTACGGGCAATTTGGCAGTGCCAGTCAAACTCAGCACATTTTTGGACTGTGGGGGGAGGCTGGAGTACCCGGAGGAAACCCCACAACGACACGGGGAGAACATGCAAATTCCACTTGGATACACAAACACACGGATATTATTATTTTTTTTTTCTGCCTTTCAGCTGAACCACCCTAAAGCTTGAGTTTGTTAGGTTAATTGCATTACATCAGTGTTTCTCAATCCAGTCCTCAGGGACCCCAAGACAGTCTGCATTTTCACTCCCACCCGACGAAGACCACTGAAAACACGGTGCAGGTATGCTGGGGGCTGGAAGGAAGCAAAAATCTGCACTGCCTGGAGGGGCCCACGTACTGGGTTACAAGACTGCATTCGAGCTACATTAGATCAACCAGCCTTTTTTAAAATCCAGTGAAAAGTCGTGCAGAAATCTTAGGCAGCCAAAGGAAAGGTTTAAAGCCATTTATCTGGGTAGCAAGTGTATATGTGCTCAGAACAAAACACACAATTTAACATTTGAACATATGCAAGTTTAGAGTTGCACAATAAAAACTAACAAGAATTTCTTCTGCTCTTCAAAAATTTACTGATACCTAGTTGGATGGCTAGATGAACACCGCTTCAGTTCACAAACCTCTTCTCAGCGGAATCCTCAGCCATTCCGGGCATTTGTTAGATTCACAACCAGCTCTCCTAATTAATTAATTTAATTGGTTTAAAAAGTCAATGAGGTATTGATTGGCCATACGAGGTGTGCTAGTGGTCAAGTCAAAAACTACATGGGGTGACTTTATGAGATGTTTTGAAAGGTGTATGCTAACGGACTTTGACAGACGTCATAGTTTTACGCCAACATGAAGATCAATTAAGCATTGCATCTACAGTATGACTGCCTAAGACTTTTGAGCAGTTATCTATGGTGCTGTATATCGGCCTTCTTGAAACATAAATCACAGCAGAAATGAGGGAACTAGAGTGGGTCCGCCTTGCATCATTTCTCTCTTCGTTATTCCCCTTTGCTATTTATGGTATTGCTTAGCATTCATTTAGACCTCTGGGCAGCACCACTACTGGGCTTTAATGGCTACAAACAGCATCCTGAAATTACCATAGATCAGGGGTCTCAAGCTCCAGTCCTGGGGGGCCGGAGCCCTGTGTAGCTTAGTTCTTTCCCCGTTCCACCACAAATGATTCAGCTCAAGAGCTGTGTGGTAATTAGCAGAAGGAGTTGAATCAGGTGTGTTAAATGAGGGTGAACCAAAAACTGTGTAGGGCTCCGGCCCCCCAGGACAGGAGTTTGAGACCCCCGCCATAGATCATGACCAATGTAGCACAGACCTGGAGACTTGGGGTATTAAATGTGAAAGAATCAAACTCATGAGTGACAATGTTACCAACACACTGTCCAGCCTGTTAAGATTGGCATAAGCAATCAAATCACAAGATTCTGCAACTCTGTCACAGGTTGGTCACTGTTATGAACAAATACAAATGAAAGAAGCAAGACATAGAAAGGTGTAGGACACAAATGTTCTCCATTTTTAATTCTTCATAAATTTTTTGGTACATAATTTTATACTATTTATATAAGATTTATATATATTAAATCTACAGCAGGCTGCAATGCTTAAAGAAACAGAATAATGAATTGGTGTGGTACATTACCCAGGCTGTTTCATTACGCCCCATTACTTGCTTCAGTACTAGGATCGGTGTCTGACTCACAGTACATCCTGCAATCTGTATTCCAAAAGGGTTTGAGACATGGTTATGAGAAACTTTATGTCAGTCTCATGAAATAGAATCATATTCCCAGTTGGAATAAACAATATTATAACTTTTTAATATTGAACGAGCAATAAATCAATGTAAACGCCTTAGTCACAATTTGACCCATATAATAAGATTCTGGATATAAAAAATGCACCCATGACTTCTATCACTTTGGAATGACATTATGAAAAAGTAAAAGGGCCAAACAACATCGCAATAAAATTAAAGCGAACAGTCTCATATACATATTCACACTCTGTGTTTTCAAAAATCCAGTTCCATTAGTGTGAACTACATCAACTAAGGTTCTCAAATGTCACAGTACAGGATTTTAGAGAAATGCATTCCTACTGAATAATAAAATTCCATTTTAAGTCTAACAGGGTTAATAATTGTTGCTTGTTAGCTTTATGTTTCTACTAATTATCTGCTTCTCTTAACCCATTTGCTAATCTATTGTCTCCACATGCTCAGGTTCTGTCCATTACCAGGCAAAGTTTTTGGAATCGCACGTTCCCGGACGCATCCATGCTGCCCATCTATTAGTTGAGAAAGTGTCCGTGACTTGAGTGTCTCATTGGTGCATAGTGCTCCACTGGATGATGTACTGTGTAGTACTTTGGTCAGATCGTGAAGGGTTAATTCCCTTGGAAGCCAGTGGGACAGTAGCAGGTAACCTAGTGCTCAGGGACACACCAGTGGCGGTCCTGTTATAATGCCATTAACCCAAGGTACGAAGGCGATTAGGTGCCCAGAGAAGAGAAGTATTAAGCTGTGTAAGCAGCAACAAAAAAGGTTGATTGTTTTGGATGATGGCTTTAGCTAATCACGTACACTCAGAAATCTCTGTCAAAATACAGCTAAGCAAGGTTTTCCTTTTGTCTCCTTCCTTCCTCCCTGTATAACAAATTAAAAATAGCCTGCTGAGATTTGCATCACAAAATCTCTGTTAATTACACTGCAGTCACAATGGGGGAGAGTCTTGTTTGATGAGGTTATCACTGCCAACATTTTAATTGTGGATTAATTACGGTGTGCTCTATTTAAAAGTGCAATTCGCTTAGCCACATGCCAATTGGTATAGAAGCAGCTCTTCACCTATAAGTGGAAGCCCTCCATGTGAAATCAAAAGCCCTAATTCCTGGATGATTTGTGTGTCTGTCTGCAGTTGCATTTTTCATTATTTCAGTGGTTCTTAAACCTGTCTTCAGGTCTCCTTGTACAGTCCACTTTTTAACCTGTCCTACCTCATACACACCTGGTTTTCTGTGTTAGCTAATTATACATTCCCTGATTACCCAGTTCAGGAACGTAAATGCTGGAATAGAATTAACTGGTAGGGCACCTGCAGTGTGAAAGAAGATACAAAGAAGATTTGTCCTTAGCCTTTTCTGACACTTTTTTCATCCCCAATGGGGAAATCAGCTAGTGTCCACGTATTTCTGTTTGCTCTCCATGAGACATGTAGACGTGTGTTAATGGCCTTGCTCAAGAACCCATCAGTGACATCACTCTGCCAGCCACATGACTTGAATCGGTGATCATGTTGGATCCCTCTCATGGTCCAAAGACATGAACTGAACCATTAAATTCTGCCTTAAATCCTGTAGTTCCTGGGAAAGCTGTTAGGTGAGCAACACTAGATAAGCAGTTACTGAAATGTGCAGAAATGCCTGATTTATGTGATACAGACTGAAATGCAAAGCTACTTCTTGTATAGATGGACCAATACGATGAAACACAATATAAATGGATATAAAAGCAATCTATGATAGAAAAACACCCACAATATTAGAGTGACTGATAAAAGACAATCCTAGACTGCATCAAAAATCATAAGAACAGCCCAGACCATGATTCAATATGACTAATACCATCTAGGTAGTGTTTGTGAAAGAACATTTTTGTGTGAGTAAAACTCCCACGAGCGTAAGTTTAACTCCATTTGTTGTTTGAGGTATGAAGTGTTAAAATAGATACCAGTATGTTTTTACAGAAACTGATATATATTTAATGTGTGGAATTTGCTAACCAAATTAATTGGTTTGTCTATATGTCTTGCCATTTAAAATGTCAGTCTTATGTAGACTTTTTATGGTGTGTGTGTGTGTCTGTGTGTGTCGGGGGGGGGGGGGGGGGTTCATCATGAAGACATTTTAATATTTTTGTTTTTAGTTTCAGCATTCACCCAAGGAGCAGCTTAGAAATGTATTGTTTGCAATTCCCAAAGTAAATTCCATTCCGCTTAATTCCAGCTGGGGTGGAAACTGCCAATCTCCATTTCAGAAGGAGAGCTAATATTACTCAGGTACAAATACCACGCTAAGACTGGCTTCATAAGTAAACGTTTGCTAAGATACAGAGCAAACGCATCATAAAAATCTGGATCTCTTTGCCAGAATGCCTAGTTCTTCATAGGGTCTACAGAAGTCTTGGTATTTCACTAATTTACACACAAGCAGTCCTTTCCAGTATAGTGTCCTGCATCTCTCTTTGAACATGGCTTTAACAGTTTAGATACAATTTGAAATATAATTTACAGCATACTATATGTTTATTGTTACATTGTTTCCAGCTTTGATATAGTGTTATTTTTATTATAATAATGGGGTCTGATCAACACATAGATGGATAACTCAGAGAATGTATATACCTTACACAAACTACTGGGAAATGTTGCCATTTCAGAATTCTGTGCGGACATTCTTTCAAATAAATTTAAAGCCTGTTCATTGCTTGTGATACCTAAAATCTAGTCCATCTGACTTAAGCTTATTTTGCTTGGATATATGGGGCAACGCTCACCCCTATTTATCTGATTTAATGTTAATAACAGTTGAGCCTTATCAGTCTTCCTTCAGATAAGGCTCATTTTAAATTGAGTGAACTAGATGTCGGATGTCCCAAAATGTGAGCAAACAACATTAGTAATGGCAAACAGTTATTATTAATTTGAACATGTCCTACGAGCAGAACTACATTTTCTTTAGCTGACACATCATCTGGCACAACTTACCATTTTTAATACATCAAAGCATCTTGCTGCATCGTACAACAGAAAAATGCTTTGGTGACAAATACATTTTCTTAACTACTACGCCACCTGCTGGTGAATATTCTTAGTGTTTTTAATTTGTTTACCGATTACTTATTGTGCAGCATCTCAAAATGTAAATTTACAGCTGAGCAAGGAAAACACAGGGAGCTTCTCTGGTCATCAGTCGTTGAACAGCGGGTAAGCTTACACACTCGGTTGGAGAACAGAACATGACACAACTCGGTATTTAGGCAGTGAGCAGTGCAGGGATGTTTTTGGGGTCCTTTGCAGTTCTTTTGCAAGAAGGGGAAGGGCACTTGAAGCGCTGTGCATTGCAGGAGGCCAAAACGCCAGGGGACCTGCAAGAACAGTGTGATTTCAATGCACCATCTACTTGCTGAGAGCAATTATGTTAATCTGACAGGTGTAGGAGGGTCTTTTCTCCGTGGGTGGCGGGAGTGGGGGTGTTCATGCTCGGCTGAGAGGCTATTAGATGGCCTGATGGGGGGGAGGGAGGAAAAGTGAAGCAGTGTGTAAAAGTGCCATCCCTGGGTGAAGCTCCAGCTGAAATGCATAGGCTTCTGTTAATTGGTTTCGAATGGGTTTTAGGACAGTCGAAGTGGTTTGCATTACTTTGCTGCACCTCTGCGGCTTCCAAAGAGTGCCACTTCTGATACGAGGCTAGAACGTCTGGTCAGAGACCACGTTGGTCAATAAAAGTGTCAAGGAAATTTTAATGATCGGGGCTTCAGGTCTCCGTGATGGTGTGTGGGGGTCTGTGAGTTCTCCCCGGGTTTGAGCTGCTTTTCCCTAGCGCCACTGGCTTTCACTCAAAAATCCGAAGGTGACTGGTGATTGCCCAAGAGGAGATGTAGTCGTTACCTTTTAATTACAAAATAGACAATGATCATGCCTAAATATTTGCACTTTAGCTCCTGATATGTCTGCTGTTGTAGTACCTCAGAAGTTTGTGTCTTCAGCCCATGCAAGTCCCTGATCTACCGTAGACTGAAGCTTTAACTTACCTGCTTTTTTTTGGAGGTCTGACACTTAGCATTTACTCGATCCTTTTCTCTTTTTTTCCCCCTTATAACATTTTTGTCAGGAGTTACAGCTAAAATGCTAATTTTCCTGCACACATCCTGCAGTTCATTAGGTAGGTATTGCTGGCCAGGTGCGAGCAGCGAGATACTCACATACACAAATCTGTTCTTTTATGCCTCATTATCCCATAGCGGTTTGTGGAGACCTGTTTTGTTGTTGGCTGTTGCTGACAGTCTTGCTGTGAATGCCTTGACTCTGGCATGGTCACAGGACATCGGCAATCATTTGGTTTGTTACTCCTGTTTGTATTAGACATCTTTTCCTAGATTTTGTGTTTCCTTCGCTAACCTAGCTTTCTCAGTTTATATTGAGACATGGATTTCGTTGTGACCTACAGAGCACTGAAGGATCCGCTCACAGCATGTGAGATGCTCTTCAGCATCATATGTAATTTTGTACGGGCCGTCTTACTTATGACATGAGGCCTCTCACCGCTAAAGAGGAAAATAAGGTTTGTGCCCAATTTGCAGATTTGACTCGAGCGCCATTTCTCGAGAACCCTTCACGGGTGATGTAGTGATTTTTTGTTACCCTGCTGCAAATTTCTCATTTATTAATCATCTCTGCCTGCTGAAATGAGAAGAACAAAATAGTTTATTGACACAATGTCCAACCACGGTGTAATGCTTTGTCATGATATAATTCTTATTAAAGCTCTTGCACAGTTACACTAGTCAGTGTCATAGTGAAGAGGGTTTGATTACAATACTGCATCTTGCCTATCTAGCTATCTGTTTATATATCTATCTGAACACCTATCAGTCACCTATCTAGGAATATTTGACAGTAGTAATACAGAGAGAATAAAAGAAAATGTAACCAGCGCTAACTGGTGATGTAATTGCTCACATTCATCAAATTGAGGGTCCTTCAATTAGTTACCCAAAAAAGGATAGCTTTGGGTTCAGTCATCATATGAAGCATGACAGCATTGTGTTTGGCTTATTAAGTAATTAACAGGAGAGTGGTAATTAGACTTTGAGGCTTTCACATGGCATGGTACGTTATTATAAATAGTGACTTCCAGCAAAGCATGATGTGGTTCCCTTATCAGACTACAAAGCCAATTACGAGGACAGAATAATTGCAATTATTTCCAGTCTTCAGTTTGTTTGCCTATAGCTGTGACAGAATTAAGTGGCCATTAGCCACTGCTTTCTCTGTACCCTTGGTGTCAAAGTGTTTTTTCCCTCATTCAAGAAAAAGTTCTTCACTGTGGCACTGATATTATATAAAAAAACAAACAATGATGCTTGGAATTAATCCTCAGAAGGCAACCTTACAGTCTCACATCCTGAACCGTCCTGAATCAAATTTGACCCCCACAGTCATTTCTGCCGTTTCGCTGCCTTTTTTTGACGCTTGGATTTCTGGGGGGAAAATTGAGCTGCGTGTTGCTGAAAACCCGAGGGACACTAATCCCCACTCTGGCTCCGTCTCACTCAGCCGATTCGTAGCCTCAGCTGTGTTGAGCTTCGACTTCACCCCGGCGCAGTGCTATT